ACCAGCAAGGAAAATCTGTGCCAGTGTCCCAGCATGACAAATGAATTGGGCAAATTGAAGATAATCATGATCATTTAATATTCCACAGCTTTACAACTTGATACTCTGTGGACAAAAGATCAGAAGTCTGCTGAATCCAAAGTTTTGAATCTTTGGGTCAATATGCTTCTCATGTCTTCAACGTTTAGTTTAATTTAGGAGGAAACAGTTCTAAGGTAAGATAAGATCTGAGACAAAATTGACGTGGACTCACAACATGGCCTAACATAACAATTTAATCTATCCTGTGCTTCCCCTGAAAGAAGGCTTAATAACTGTGGTATGATTTCACCTGCTGCTTCTAACATTTGCTCATTCTTTTTCCTGAGCAAATTTGGATTATCAGATGGTGAGCAGCTTTGTTCATGGTAGACAAACTTGAATTCATTTAGGATTAATAACAATAGGTTCAATCTTGGATTCAATGGCAGTTCTTAATGAATGGAGTCTTTGGAAGACAAATGTTTGTTTGTGTTAAAAGAGAAATAATTAATTCTCCATTTTTCTGGGTATGAGGTGATTATAGTACATATCACAAAATGTTTTCCCTGTGTTTCCAGCCCTGGGTATAAGAACTGCAGGAATGTTCCCCAGGCCCCAGCATTGCAGATATGAGCCATTTTGACCTTGTCATTTCAAAATCTGAAGTTTTGCAATGAATTGTTTGGTGTGAGGAAAAAAAAATGTATCCCTTACTCACAGTACTCTCAGGTCCTCCTGGTGATCTGATGCAGGGCAGTGAGGAGAGAGGAAGGTCCGCGATCCATCAGCAGTCGTGGGTCAACACAGGGTTACTCGGATGAAGGAATCAAGGCTTCCTTGATCCAAGGCTGGATCTGGATTTTGGCCCAATCCTCACCATTGTCTTAGACATGGGCATCTTCCAAATTCCTGTGGGAAATCCCACCTTCTTCACTACTGACCCTATCTCTTGGGAAGCAGCCGGAGCGCACGTGACCAGCTTGCCCGGCTCGGAGAGGCTGTGCTGCCCAACACCCGGTACCCGCTGACCTCAGGAGAAATTAACAGGCTTCAGCAAATGTACCCTGCAGGCAATTCTACCCTGGAAAAACATCACCCACATTGCTAGAGTTTAGGACAACAAATTAGAGCTTTTAACATGCACTGGCCGCTTTTTTTTTCCCCCCCCCATCCCCACACCATCACCATCCCCCCTCCCAGCCCAGTAACATCCAGTTGCTTAATTCCATTTGAAATCACCCGGGTTAGGCACCTAAATAATCTTGTCCTTCATGCCTGTCAACATCTTGAGGCACCTAACCACCTTTAGAGATGTGGTGTGAAAGCTTGTGAACGATGCAATCGAGGAGGGAAACAAAAGACAAGTATCCCTATTTGCTGCCCAAGAATCCACAAAGAATGCTGCTTCAGCTCTGCTCTGATTTCTAATTAGATTATGAGTGATGTAGGACTCTGAAGCCAAGCTGGAGTTTGTGCTAGCACTTTGCATGTATGAATGACAAAGGGACACCACTTTCATATTGATTTAAGCAAGCCAGTGGAAGAATGTTTAAACATCAAGTGCTTGATGTCCCAGTTTGCCAGAGCACCTGGAAATATCAAATTAATTCCAGGTGTTCTGCCATTAAGACAGGCTTGCCGCTTTTACGGCCACACATACAAAATGTGGCTCCCAGTTCCACAAATAAAAACGGAATGGTTTCTGCTCCTAATGCCTCGATAACTCCGACATATTGCAAGTTCTGGAAAGAATTTTAATCTACACAGTTTTTTTTAAATGGGGAGGGGAGCGAGGGGGGAAAGATTTTAAATATGCTGCATACAATTTGTGATGGTCATCTCTAAAATGCAGCTCCATTATCCTTTTCCATTTGGAATGAATGAGGCTAATTAATTTCAGGCCATACTTGATGAGGTCAGCACCATACGAAGGGTGCGTGCTAGACATTGCTAATCTCTTTCAGCTGAGAGTGATGAATTAAAGATGAAGCATTCCTTTGCAGGCCTAATTTAGAATGTATATCAAAAACCTACAGCAAATAATACTATACCCTACAACAAAGGAAAACTTGTTCTCTCAGGCTCCCATGTAGGGTTGATTTTAAAGGCATTTTCATTTCGCTTTGGAATTCCAGCTGTGGATGGGTGAAACAGTTCAGAAAATTCAAGCTTTCTCTCTTTCTATTGCTTTTATGGACAAAAGTAGGCAGGGGGGCTAAAGGGAGAGAGAAACTGGTCCGTGTTTGATCCTGTATATCCTGTGATTCTGACTGTACGCTCGGCATTTAGGAAACCAAGTACCTGTGACGTGACACCCCCCGCAGCCCACACTCACATTTTACTGCTGGGCTTTTTTAAGTCTGAGGGGAAAGCAGTCAAGAGACCCTTTTGGTTCAGCATCATCACAAGAATGTTTAGTTGGACGTTGCAGGCTGGAAGCAGGATGGGCCCAGCAGTTCTGCTGGGTCACCCAGCCAGGACAGGAGCTTCCAAGCTCTCACAGAGCTGTAATTCTCCCTAGGGATAAACACCTCCCTGCGCAGAAAGGTCCCATCACATCTAGAAGTGCAGATAGCAGAACTGAATGGAACAAATCACTGTGAAAGCAACCAGGTCTGGGAGCAGGACAAATTGCTACACAGCTCCCAAATTGGCTGGAGTTGAGGCTCAGCCAAGCTTTGCCACCTTTTCCTCAAGGCAAAGCCACCCACAAAGTCCATAGGGGTTTTCCCCACAGTGAGGGACTGCAGGATTTGGCCCTGTGGGCAGCGAGAAGCTGAATTGTCATTATGGTAAAACAGGGATTTAGGAAATCTTAACACAGCCTCGGAAGGAGACTGCAAACAATAGACCACCGTCTTCCCCACCACTTCTCTGCTCAATACCTGGCAGTTTCTTGGAATTCTTGACAGGTTGCTGCAGCGAGTCGAAGTTCCCAACTGGTGGCCATAAGCGGCTGCCGTCTTTGTATCCCAGTAGTCCTCATTAGAACAAAGCTGCTTCGAATTAAATCCAATCTACATGCCGAATCAATCTTTCAACCCTTTGATTGCTTCTGAAAATATTTATACTTCTTAATAATGCACATTTTGTCCCAAAGCCTGTGATTAAACCCAGACAAGGTCCGGAGAAGCCTGAAGTATATGTGGAAGGGGTTATTTTGGACAGGAAAAGAAAGATAAAGACACAGGTTTTTCCTATTGTGAAACCATTAGAGTGTATAAATCTAGCAATTGCAGTTGTATAAGCATCAGAGTGGGGTTGTAATAAATACAGATTGGAGTATTATAGTAACCAAATGGAGTTTATGGATTATGTTCACTAGTTCATATTTCTCAGCTACTACAACCTAACTAGCTTCATGCTGCACTCACCTCTGTTAATATTCCCTATTAATATTCTCTTTACGTGTTTGGGGGGGGGAAAAAAGTTAGGATTCAACTGCTGCTCTGTGTAAAACAAATATGTTTAAAGAACCATGCCCTCCAAAGAAAAAAAATAAACATGGGGATGCTGCAAAGTGACTGTGTTCGAAGGGCACAGGCTGTGGCTGGCTGAAATCGGCCCCATTCTGCTGAAAGTTAATAACTTCCATCTGAGTGGAATCTGGTCCTAATGCAGGGCATTCACTGCATAAAAATTGGGGTGTAAAAATGAGGAAAATAACTTCTGCTACCCCTTATCCTGATAAATTTTTAGGGTGGTAAATAATAAGCTTTGGCTGGAGATGAGAAACGCACAAAGGCTTTGAAACCGTGCTGTGTGGTAAGCAGTGTATTATTCCCTTCTCAAAAAGCAGCATGCAGCACAGGTGAGATATGTGGAGATGAAGGGAAGGATGCATTCCTTGGCTAAGAAGTAACCCAGATAGGGCCAGATCCTCCAGAGTGGGGACCTGCCATCGATTAAAAAGGTGGTGGTGGTGGCTGGGGATGCAGATCAGATAAAGGCTCTGTACCTATCTCCCTCCCTAAACACAAATGACTGCCCTTGTCTCTAATAAAAGGGAAAAATTGACGTTGGAAAACACGCCATGATAAATCTCTTTGGATAAAGTATGCAGTGCCTGGGTGGGAGGGAAAGAAATCCTAGAAAGTAAAAGTATGTAATGCTTATTTAATATCATTGTCTTCAGCAGCATCATGGTAAATGCAGGTAATATTCTTCAGGAGTGGGCTGGTAAATGCTTGTGGTAGTTTTGTTTGTGACAGTTTCCTTTTTCATAAAGGAGAGAAAGAAATAATTCTCAGTTAAAATATTATTCATTGACTCTTTCATCACATAGTTCATTACATTAAGCTGTAATTTCCTAAATATGTTGGGGGGTGGTATTATTATTATACATATATCCTGAGTCATGATGGCTGTTTTGCATCAATGTATTATTTGAATGCTCAGTCCTTAAGGTAGAGAGAAGGGGGTGGGGGGTGTTGATCAGCAGCATAAATAAGGAGAGAGCAGAGATTGAAAAAACCCCTCGTAAATAGGGATGGAACCAAAATCTAATGGCATTTGGGATCAGACCCCCAGCAGAACTCTGTATTATATAACCAGCATTTTCTGACTATCTTCTATTGTTTGACAACCCAGGTTTCACACTGAACTTGGAGTTAAATTCTGAACAGAAGGTTTTTGTATAGAAACTTTAAATGATATCCCTCCGTGAACACACACACACCATCGAGGATATTGTCTTATTAAAGAGTTTAAGCCTAAAGGTGTATGCCTACTTTTAAAAGAAATTTTCTGATTGTAGATAACTGCTCAATTTGATTTAGTGTCCAATGATAGTGATGGGGTTGATAACTGAGCATTCATCGGTAATTCATCTTGTGCTAGTAGAAATTTACAGCAAAGCAGTGCTTTCCCAACACTGACAAGTCCTATTAATCTTCTTCAGACACATTTCAATAGGTGTCTCCATCTGTGCCCAACATCTAAACACTCTGGCATCACTGGGGACTTGGAGACACCTTCATTTCAGGTTACACTAGTGAAAATGTGATACTAGATTGTACTCTATTTTTAACCTAATTCTCTCTTTTCATTCAATTAGCCTTTCTTGCCTGCATTTTTCTACTCATGTGTAACATCCTTTTCCCAGGAATAGCTTAAAAATGAGATTTAGTTACTTAAAGAGACAGAATCTGCCAGGGCAAGAGCAACCAAGAGCTTAGTACGGAAAAGCAGAATAACAAAGCTCAGGGACACGGTGTGGAGACCGAATTGCCAGTCACCAAACGCGTCCTGAGCAGCATGCCCACAACATTCCCCTCCTCATGCACCTCTTGCAGGCACCACTGGGTTAGGACAGCTCTGAAACTAAACACCCCAAAACTGAAAACAACTGCAGGATGTTTGGGTGTTGAAATCCCCAACACCTCTGTCTGCTCGTGCTGCACGGGGATCCCCACCATCCATCCACACTTCGCTTTACATATACAACTAATGCATGAACAAACACAGAGCAGTCAAATTACAGCAATAACATTTATGGCTGGATTATGTTCCAACTTCCTCACTTATTATTAAAAGCGAGTAAATTGTGAAGCACATGGAAGAGGTAGGGTGCAAATGCAGGCGAATTTCCACTCTGAACCAAATGTTGTTTTTTCACTTTCAAAGCTGCGATGAGTTTGCGAGCAGACGCAGCACAGCTTTAAAGCTTACTCATTCAAAAATGTGTGTTTGGGTTCCTTTTTTTTTTTTCTCCCCTCCTTGCTCCATTTACGTTTGCCTTTCAAAGAGGAGCAGATGCACACCATTTGGGTTTGGGTGGCTCCTACTTGCTCTGAACTTTCTTCTGAAAAGAGCAAACCGTGAGCCGTGCGTCTGCTCCGCGCCTCAGAGGCAGTTTCAAACTTTGTTTCTGGCTTTATGAAGTTCTCTCGTGAGTCGTATTATAGATCTAAATGACCTTATTGTAGGTGGCAAGTTTAAATGTGCCATATTAATAACTTGTTATCCAAGACAAATTAAGTCCTTATGTGTCAAAAGCACTCTGTTCTGGATTACCTACAAGACAAGTATTTATTGAATAAACGTTGGATCCAATTTCATTTTAATGTGACTGACTGTATGCTGCAGCCCCTTAGAACGAGATAAAAACACTCAAACCTACAACTGTGTTGCAACATTACACCTAACTTGTCTATTTCTATTATTGTCTTTTTAACATGGGATCTCAAAAGTGTTTGGGGGGTTTAAGGATTTATTATTATTATTGTTGTTATTATTTTTTCTGCAGAGCAAGGAGAGAGATAGAAAAAAAGACTGGCATTCAGCCTAAAGAGAAATCATTGAAACAAATTAATCCTATGCCGTTTAAATTGACATGGTAATCCATCATCAGCAAAGGGAAACTCTGAAAGCAATCTAGAATCTGCAGTGTTCTTTCACTGGCCCTCAGGCACAAAGACAGATAGTAAAAGAGGAAAGGAGGGAAAAAAATCATAAAAGTTAGCAGCACCTTAGCATAGGGAAGGGCTAGAGAAAGCAGCTTTCACTTTTTTCTGCTTCCAAGCACCCAGCTCAGAAAGCAGCTCTGATTAACCTTCAGTCACTGCCTGCTAACGTTTACTTGTGTGTCAGATCATCTTCAGCTGCTGGGATAGGAGTTATTTCAAATAGTGCAGAGCCCCCGTCCTGTATAAACTCCACCATTGAAAACTCTGCCTAACATCAACTTGGGCATTTCTGCTTACAGAGGGCCTTTTATTAGCCTAAACTTGATCATTCCAAATGGACAATAAATTCTATCTGCACAGTCCTGGAGAAAAGAGCTGTACTATCCTTGGGAGTTTAACAGCCAGGATTTTCATAGAGCTAGCATGAAAAATACTGGGGGGGGTTTATTTGGGTTTGCGCTCCGGGTATTTTTTTTTGTCTATCCCCTGCTTTCTCAGTGGGGCTATCCACCACAATATATGTTTCCCAAGAGATTTTTTCAAGCTAGTTTTAAATATCTAAAGTGATGAGACTTTGTGCACCTTTAAAATTTTATTAGACTTATGGTCAGAAGAAAACATAAACCTCTTGGGCCTTGAAAGCCCATTGCAATACAGCCATTATCCCTATAATGTCAACAGAGCCACAAAATTCTCTAGAAATAAACCTTTTAAGAGCAGCTTTCCCTGCTTCATGTTTTCTTTTAAGGTCAGTGGTGCATCACTTTTTCGGAAAATGTTTCCCCTCTCTGGCCAGGTTTAGCAATGTGAAATAGAATGTATATTACTAAATGAATAGGTTTAATTTTAGACACTGAAAAAATAAATAGAAGAAGAGAGCCAGAGCAGGAATAATACCTTTCAGTTAGAAACAGACATAGTAGAAAGAAAAAGTCAGAACTTTAGTGCCAGGGGCAAAGGGGTGAAAGGCTGGCTAATATGAACCATATCCAACATCTGCCCTATTTTAATTTAGCAGGGATAAAGTTTCTTCTTTTTTATTATTAAGAAAACTTTATGTGGCAGAGAAACCCATGAGCTATGTTATCAAAACTGTTTTATTGTCACACTGAAACTTAGAACTATTAAGAATTGGTGGGGCAAAGAGATAAAAACTCCCCTTCTCTCTCCTTTTATACTCTGTGACAAGCCTGGGCTCAGGTCCTGCTGACTGGGATGTCCTTTTCATGTCTTTATAAAGTACTGCACTTGGGGCTGTAATATAAAGGGGAGGTTAATTGTTCAGGATGGGTCCAAATGATTGATTCTCCATGTTAAAAAAATAAATAAATAAATAAATGAAAAATCTGAATATTAAAAACAAAATCCTGTCTCGGTGGTCACCCTCGGAGGTGAGCGATGGTTGTGGTGCACAAGTGTAAAGAAGGGCTGGACTGGGGACCTGTGTGAGAAACAGCCCAAATTTCCAGGCTGGAACATGATCTCATTCCATCTAAAAGTTTTCCACCTCGATAGTGCAAATTCCACTATAAAATAACAAAGTATACCAAACCACATGTGAGTAGCTGTGGGAGCAAGAGAGCAAATTGGTTTCTGACAAAAGAAGGATGAATACCTTTGGATAATCTAAAGTTAAAATTTGATTGAAAGCATAACATTCCTCTAAGCATCAATATGCTTAGGATCCAAAATATGGTTATTTTATTACCAGTTAATACTTAGATCAAAGCAAAACACTGTAGCTGGAAGGGACGTTCTCTCTGGAAATAAAGTTCCATGTAATTATTTCCTATTAAAAACTAAAACTGGTCTTAGATTCAAAAATTTGGGCTTCCTTACATGTGATATAATGCAAGCTTGTCAAGAAGGAGCAGATGTACCATTTTTCACTGTTTGCTGGTATCTCTTTGCTTTAAAGTTTTTGGTTTAGCTTTAACCCTTTGAATGCGAAAGATCCTCGTCCAATTTACCTCGATCAGACCAGGGGGACTGTTTTGGATCATACTGACTCATTTCTTATGATAAGAAATTAGGATTTGATATAATTTAACATCATTTTAAATAAAGCCTGCAAATGTAAGGAGGTGAAATCTAAAGAAAATGATATGGCGATGGGTAGGCAGCTGGAAGTTAAATATTAAATTGTAAACAAGGGCTTTACTCTTGGGCAAAACAGCTCATCTTAATTCAATTCAAGACGTGGAGTTTAAAATATGCACTCAAAATACTTCCAAGAAAGCTGCAACCTTTCAGAGGAGAGAGATAAGAACGTATTTTAATTATGAGGTTATAAATATGCGATAGATTTAAATTTTTTTACCAACTCCTAATGTGCCGCGTAACATTGTTCAGATGCAGTTATACATTTATCTGTCTGTCTCTATTCCTGTCCAGGGTTTTGCTTTTATTTTATTCTTTCTCCTTTTTTTTTTTTTCCTCCTGATAGCTCAATCTCTATTTATGGCATCGCTGAGGCAGGCCCTGGGAAAATAAATAAAAAAAAAAAAAAAAAGAATCTATCCTTCTGTATTTATAAACCACCACAGAATAAATAGGGAATGGTTCCTTTTTACAACTGAAGGGCTGGTATTATAAGTAGCAATATGAAATATTTAGACACATTATTGCAAGCTTCCCGGCTGTTTCTGATTCTGCTAATTATTTTTGATCTGTCAGTCAGAAATAAAAAAAATAAATAAATAAAACTTTAAAGAGTTCATTAGGACTGCAGAAAGCAAGAAGAGTCAGATATAAGGCAGCAATTATAAATTGGTTTTAACATGTTTTTTTCATTTTTTGCTGACTCCTCAGCTACATTGTTTAGTAGAAGGATGGCTACAATATACTTCTACACTAAAGCCTGTTAAATAGGGAAGAAGCTGAGACATTCAGCTGGGATATTGTTTGCTAGCTCAATTAGTATCCCAAGAATTTGAAAGTACAATAAATGTATCTGAAGATCATATCTAAACATACTTACCAAAAAGTACCCACCTCTCTCAGCAGTTCACATATTTCTGCCTTCTAACTGGGAGGGAAAAAAAAAAAAAAAAAAAGAAAAAAAAAAGGCAGTTCGATGTGTAGGTTAAGATTGGCGTGTGGCAAGGTTTGTGTGAGATACAAAGAAATCTGTATTTCACTCAACAATTTCATTGCTTAAACATATAGTTTAGAAGCCTCTTTTCCTTAAACATGTGGTTCAATAACATTTTCTTCAAAGGAACAACTCAGTGTGTTAAAAGATTTAAGAACAAAGAATGTGCTGCAAAATGCAAATTCCTCCAGTGTTATAGTGTGTATGCAATTATGTATGTAGGCAGATAGATATAATTTGAGTTATTAACTTTCAACATCAATGATGTACCCTGAATCAATACAATGTAACTACCTATTAAAATATAAACCAGGTGTGTTCCCAGGCAAATACAGTCTGAGAAGCTTTTCTAGATTTTTTTTTTTCTTTAAAGATTACAGCTCTACTGTGGACAAGAAGCTCAAGAGATTGGTGCTGGTCCTAAAGATGGAGATTGCTTTGTTTTTTGCTGATGGTTCTAGAATGTTTCATTTCCTCCACGTTTGAAGAAAAAAAAAATAATTTAAAAAATAATAAACAATAATGAAATGTTGTAAAGGGGATGAATTGCCTCACAAACATCCGTACATTTACGCACCTCCGGATGCATGGGAAGGAGAAAAATTCCCCTATTTCCATATTTCCTTTGGCTGAAGGGAGGGAATGAAGGGAGCAGAAATCATTTTAAGCCTTGCCCTCCCGTCGGATCGACCCCTCTTGCAAATCCCTTTCTCCTGGCCGCCCTCCCTCGCTCCCCCGAGCACACAGCCCGGCGCAGTTAACCTTGGAGCGGCGCCGGGGAGGGAAGGGTTAATGAAACCCAGCTCTTTACGACCTCCAGGGTCAGACTCTTCCTATCTGCAATCTAAGGAATTAGGTAAGGAGGTTATAAGATTATAGTGAAAGGAGTTATAGGCCCTCGTAGCCTCACACCTGAACATATTGGGCTAATCCACTGGGATTCTTAAAAATCGCTTCAGCTATGGAAAACTGTTAATTAGGCTGGGTCTGTCCCGAGGTTTCCTGTTGCATTAGTGATCCAGCCGAGCTGCCTGCGCTCCATGGGCTCTCATGGAACGCTCTCAGTGCGCCTGTACTTTGTCCCTTCTCCACAAATGAAATCAGCATCAGCCCCCTGATTTCGGGGTAAAAAATAAAAACAAAAAACAACAACAACAAACAAAGCTGGGGGAAAATTCAGCCCGAGAGATGAATAAAAGTCAACCCCCTCCGGTCCCTGAGCCCTGGGTGCCCGGCAGGCTATTTGCAGCTGTTTCTAACTTCAGTGTTTGTTTACAGTAGCAAAATTAGCACTTGGAGGAGAAGTGAAAAGCTGTTTTCACATCAGTTTTACTCCTCGGTTCCTAGCTTGGGATGTCTTTCCTCCCTCCCAGCAATCAGCATCATTTAAAGTGCGGTTCAAACTTTCTCTCGCTGCTCTGACTTAGCTCTCTGCAGTCTCATCCTATTTTCTGCTAAAGACAAATACGCGGAGAGAATGTAGCATGTGAACACGGGCCAACCATCACGGATTCGAGGCAAAATAATAATAATAATAATAATAATAATCCCGAGCATCCCCACAGAACGTATTTTAACGTCGCATGGCAAAGCCCTGCCCTACTCCCGGCTTTCTGCCCTTTGGCACTCAGATATTTGCTTGTCTCCAGCAAAGTTTTCTTTAATCCGCCGAGACACCCCAGGGCTGTACCTGAGCCACGGCTAAATTGCTCTCTTCGACCGATAAAATCCAGCAGCAGCAACTCCCCAACTTCAATACTTAAAGCAAGGGCTGATTTTAGTCATTTTGTCATTTGCAGAAATGCTGCGTTATTTTATTTTTTTTTAATTTTTTTTATGCCACTTGTGGTCACCCTCGAATGGCAGTAATCTGTAGATTACATATTACGAGCCTTGTCATTACGTGGATAAAACGAGGTGGTTAAACGCTAAAATCCATTTTACTCACCACATTTGCTTGTGGGGAGGGAGGGGGGCGGGAAGGAGAGGGGAGAACAAACTTGTAGGAGAAGGATTTAAACCCCTCGGATGGGAGCTGGATGTGCTGTCAGAGCCCTCTCTGCCTGGTGGTTACACGGGCTGGGGACCCCTCAACTTCACCTCCAAGGCAGGCGCCCGGTTACTCCAGCCCTCTCCCTCGCTTCTGAGCCTTTTGTCCCCATTTTCGTGGTATCTCAGCTTTGCTCCACAGAGGCGACTTTTCTCTGCCTCTCCTGGATTTGCTCTGTAGCATTTCTAGGCTCCTACTCTCCAGCTCTCCCCCCGTTTGCCTCTTTCATCTGTGTCCCTGATCCCTCTCCAGCTGATGTGATTCTTTAGAAATGTGGGTCTTATCCCGTCCCTACCTTTGCCGGCTCTGATTAGATATTATTTTTTCATTGGCTCTGCTACAATGGGTTCCTCCCTTTAATCTCTCGGTATATTTTCCCCCTCCCGGTATAACCAAATCCATGAAATTCACAGCCTCTCTCTTTGACACGACTGGTTCGTCTAATCACTCCATATCGATTTCCCTAACTCTTTTCATCCAGCTGAAGACACATTTTAAAACACTCCAAGCCAGAGTGTGCTCTTTGCTTTATACACACTAATAAAATGATTTACCCTTCTCTCTCTGCTCTCCTCACAGGAGAAAATCGTTCAAGTCGCGGCTATTTGTGTGTGATCAGTAAATATTTAGTGTGGCGACATCCTCAGCTCCTCTCCTGATCAATACGCAACCCAACAGGAGGTGGACTATTGTCCGGGTAGTGACTTGCTGAGATCTCCTTTAGATGAATTCTTTGCCCCCCATACTGTCTGTTATGATTTATCCTCGAAGGTGACCAATAAAGAAAAACTGAGTCTTTAAAAACGTCTGTTTCTAACCTGTTTACCGTGCCATTAAAGCACCTAAGCAAGGAATGGCTTATTCATCCCCGTCTCCCACATCCCTGGGATGGGCTGGCACACGCAGAGCGCTGCTGGAAAATGGGGCTCAAAGCGGGCAGCCCCCGCACGGCTGCTCTGCACCCCCGAAACCCCCGAGCCCCTCTTGCCCGACCCCTCCAGCCAAAGCCCGTCCTCTCTCTGCGCTGCAGTGTCACGGCAAAAGGGCGATTCCCCGCTCGCACCCTGCAGCACCTTCGGGCACAGGGCTCGCTCCCACAGCTCATCCTCAGCCGCTGGGAACGGCGTGGCCAGGGATGGAGGGTGCCCCAGCAACTTCCAGCCCTCCTCCCCCCTCCTCCTCATCGCATCCCGCCGCTCTGCCCGTCCCTGTCCCAGCACCAGGCTGAGGCAGGGCTGGGGGCTCGGGGGTTTTTTGTTTGTTTGTCTGGTTTTTTTTGTTTGGGGTGCTTTTTTTGAACGACATGGAAAATCTGCAGTGAAGGAAAAAATAATAATAATAATAATAATGGAAATGGAGAAGAGCTTAAAGCCCGTTTCCTGTGGTTAACCATAAAGAGAGCTTTCCCAGAGTGATAAAATGGGCAGCAAGAGAAGTTGGCGTGTGTGTGTGTGTATGTTTTATCCTGATGTGCTATTTCACCCCTGGGAAAGCCAGTGGCTCCCCTTGCAATTAGCCCAGGAGTGTGCTGTGCCCGGTGAGAGGTCCGAGACAGCAGTGCTGCTGTGTGGGTGCCTCCACACAATGGCTACACGGTGATATCTGCATCGTCTGTGTGTGCTCGCTCACACCATGTCCTGCAGCCCACAGAGGTGCCCAGATATTTATTTTATTCCCGTGCGTGTGCGTTTGCACCTCAGCTCTAGGTCGAAGGCGTTTATCTCTGCAAATGGGCATTGCCTGCACAGGCGCTTCATAAATCCAGGGCTGTGTATTACAGATGTGCGACTGTTATTCAAATGTAAAACCAGCTACATCCACCTGTTAACTTTGTTTAGAAACCACTTTCACTAATGGCTTTTCGCTAACTTATTCAGCCCTTTACTGGAGTATAGGAGGCAATGGAGGGGAAAAATCCATATGAAACCCTGCTCACAGCCTCTCTTCGAGAGGACACTTTCCACACCTTGCCTAGACAGGGCTCCTATAGAGCGCTTATCTCTCGAATATATCTTTATACTAATGCATACTTAATTGGTCTGTCTTGACTGTCCATATAAAACAATTTAATTAGGGTGCTTTCTGCTTTGGAAAGAAAGAAAAAAAAAATCTGCCCAGCATTTATTGTATTTAGCACCAATACAGGCAGAAAATGTTGCACAAGTTTTTGGTTGAAAGAGCACCTATGTGTCCATTGAAGGGCGTTGATCCGAAAAGACAGAGAGGACAAGTAAAATCGATTTGAAGCAACCCTCTCTGTCCCTTTCACACCATTCAGACACTCCATTCCTTCTAAGACAAAGACCCAGCGCCTTGGGAATGCTGGCAAGGGAGGGGGGGGGGGGGGGGGGGAGAAAAAGGAGGAAAAAAGGAAAAAAGAGGAAAAAAAAGGAAAAAAGCTTCAATCCCCCCAAGCAAAAGGGAGAGCTCTGAAATTCCTTCATATTGCTGTTATTTACCCCCGAAGATATGTTCAACTCCAGGATTTTCTTCAATTCGAGGTCTAACACTGCTGCTGCGAGGAATGTCCCTGGAAGGGGAGGAGGTAATTATGGCTATTAGTGCTGCGAGCCCAGCCGCAACCTTGGTCACTCGCAGGCTTTTAGGGTTAAAATAGCCCTCACCTCTGACCCCTGAGGAGCAAAGTTGTAGCTATTGCCACAAGTTGGGCCAAAGTTTTCAAATCCAGGGCTGGGCAGCACCGGAGGGGGCAAACTTCTCCCTGGAATTATTTTTGGTTGGGATTTAAATCATCTTTAGTCTATTTAATTGCCTTTCCCTCCTCCTTTGGCCAAACAATCCCTTTCGGAGAGGTGGGGGGGATTTCAAAATGCCATGCTCTCGCTACCTTTCCCACTGCTCTTTCCATTTAGGTTTAATTTGGCAGATTGTTTTCAAGCATGAAAATGGTTATCATCAAACTGAATTACTGGGTCAGCCTCTCATCCAGAGATCTCAAGAATAAAAAGGGAGGCGGGGTGGGGGGGTCGGTCAGGGGGCTCCCCCCTTTAGGCTTTCCCCGTCATGACCCATCCAGCTTCACAGAAATAGGAACATTTGGGAAAAAATGAAGAAAGGACAAAAAGCTTGGATTTGTCTCCTGTGCTTTCTGCACACCTTCACGATCCTCCTCTGCAAGGGGGGATTTTGGAAGGAGGGCCGGGGGGTTGCTCAAACTGAGGAGGGGAGGGAGCCCACAGATGTAAGTACCCCTCTGACAATAATAAAAATTCATTCAAGTGGGCTATGTCTCCATCTTCCATGTACTGATTAGACTTAACAAGAGTGGAAACTTGTGTAGACCATATTTATGGTATTAACAAGCAGTTAAAAGATTTATCCTTCTTCTGATCAATATTGTTCGTGGCCGGTCCTTCCCCCCCACCCCCCGGGCCCTCCCCGAAGGCTGCAATGACAATCGCCTTCATACTTTTTCATCACCGATCGAGGTGGCAAAACCCTTTTGTAATTTTCATTAGCCCAGTAAACATGCAATTAACATGCAGCACTGTGGTTAACTTAATTCCTGTTTTAAGGCAAGGACAAGCAAGAAATGGAAGAGCGTTTGTTCCATTTGTCAAGTATGACACACTCCCTACCCTAACAGTTTCTTAAAATAAAAGCTCGGCTCCCCACCACCACGACCACCACCCCTCTTTCCAGAAACCCCCCACACTGATACACACACATACACAAAAAGAAGCAGGAATCCATTAGTTGGAGAGTATTCTCCTGCCAAATGCGGTATAATGTATTCCAAATTTTCCCAAGCCCTCACTGTACCGGGGTCCCGTTCCCCCCACTCCCCCCCTCCCATCCCGGGGAAGGGGGCTGACTCGCTGATATTTCTCGTGGGTGAAAGATTCAGCCTTTTCCTAACCGTATTTTTTTTTTTTTAATAAAATAAAACTAAACGTGCTTCCCATGACTAAAAGTTGCCATGTTTGTGAAGGGGGTGGGGAAAAATGTCTCCAAGGGTTTCAATTAGCAACAAATGATTATTGCAACGGATTTTTGGTAATGAAAAAATGTGGAGTACCTCTTTCGAGCTGGGATCTCAGGGGCAGTGAGAGAGAGAGAGGGGGGGAGAGGGAGAGAAGGAGAGAGAGAGAAAGAGATTGCTGATTAGCTCGGATTCTTTCCCAACTTGCTTTAGCGTGTGCTTGCGTTCCCTGCCGACCCTACACAGGACACTATATATTTTTTCCCCTTCGGTGCATGTGTTGATAGTCCAGCCTGTAGTTGTTTGCGGTTGGCTTTTTTTTTTCCTTTTCGTTTTTTTTTTTTTTTTCCTGCCGGGGAGGGGGGAGGTGGGAAAGGGGGGAGGGGGGGGCTGAAATCAGTCGCATCCATCCTACCCCCACAGTCATTAACTTAGGAGATTTCCCTCTCTTATTTTTTTTTTCTCCCCAATTGGAAGGGTGGGTTGTGAATATTTTTCCCTTTTTTTTCCTTTTTTTTTCTTTTTCTTTCTATTTTTTTTTTTTTTTTTTAAGTCTCGCCTTTCCAGCTCCAAACAAGGTGTAGCGAGACGCTCTTCCTTCTAAGGAATGAAATGAGACAAGGATCACTCAAAGACATCTCCTACCTTGGGCTTGGGGATTTTTTCTTAAAGGCAAGGCGCACATTCCTAAGCAGCTGTGTACAAAGCCCCCCCTGAAATCTTGTCTGTGTAAAGTTAGAGTGTGTTCAGGGTGTTTTTTTTTTTCCTCTCTCTCCCAAGGCTGATCGCTAATAATACATCGAAAGCACTTCCCTTTAGGTTGTGGGAAATCTATTCCCTTCACCTTGCTTCCTTTTTTTCCCCCCCTGAAGGCTGTAACTTTACTTTTTTTTTTTTTTTTCTCTCTCTCTCTTTTTTTTTTTTTTTAATCAGTTTGCACAATCGCTTAGATAAACACCAAGAAGGAGACTTCTCTTTAATTACCCAACGCACATCTTTCTGGGGGGCAAACAGCGGTCTGATTTTTTTTTTTTTATTTGTTTGTTTCACCTGCCAAACTAAAGGAGAGGTAGAAAAAGGAAGATGCAAGCGATTTGGGACCTTGAACAAGGCAAATATGGTTTTGGTATGTTTACTTATAGTTTTTTTTCTTCTTCTTTGACACTTTTTTCGGGCAATGTGTTGTGATTCTTGTGTTTCTCTTTTAAGGAAAACAAAAAATCCAAAAAAGCAAATGTTAGCTAACGTGCGTCTTAAACGATCGTTTCTAAGGTTACGTGGGTTGCTCTAAGGAGGGGAAGAGGGGAGGGGGGCAGACCCAAGTATGTGTAATTGCAGCACCATCAGTTAGCACGTCCTTTAGCTAAATAAAGCAAAGCAGCAAACAAACAAACAAGCGAACAAACCCAAGGAGCGGACCCGGCTTCCAGGTCCGAGGCAAAGCGCCTCCAAGTCATTTCCCCAGGAGCAGCGGCCGGCGCTGCCGCCCCTGCCCGGCGCCGGGGCTGCTCGGGGGGAGCGCGGACCGACCTGCTCCGGAGGGTGGGAGGGCAGGACGAGGCTCTTAACTTAAGTGATAGGTATTAAACTGCCCGGGATCGCGTCGCCGTGTGCAGCTGGCAGCGGGGATTTTTGGGGAGGGGGAGGAAAAAAAAAAAAAAAAAAAAAAAAGTCGGTGGTGAAGGTAGAGCGCCGAGATCCCCTCTCCCCCTCCGGTCCTTTCCCTGGCTAAGCAAGTACAATGGAAAGAAGCTGGAATATACTCACCATCCGAAGGTGTGGTTGGCAGTTCGGCTGAGGCTTTAAGGCAATTATTTATCCTTTTTTTTTTTTTAAGTATTATTGCAAAAGACGTAGATCTGACTTTAAGCAGCAGAAGTGTTTTGCTCTGACAACAGCAAGCGAGGCTTGGATCCTCGTTAAAAAAAAAAAAATCACAAAACAGGATTCCCCCCCCCATCCCTTACCACTATCCCTTAAAAATACCTATTCGGCACAGCTCTCGCAGAAACCCTGATGCAGAAATCTTATAGTCCGGTCTAGGAGTGCCCAAGCCAATTAATTTTAAATCCTTAGGAATTAATCAGATTAAAATGTACAGAAGTTTCATTCTCGTATGCATACGTGAGCCAAAAGTCGTTTCCCTTTAAGAGATCCTTTTCTTTTAAAGTTGAATTTTAGGCAGATAAGAGACTTACACTAGGGGGCAGCCAGATACTGTACTTGCTCCAATCTTAAGCAATTTTTTTTCCTCTCTCACAGCATATGCTCTGATTTAGCACTGTAAATTTTTCAGAGGACCCAACTCTGACAGCCCCTGGTGATTTTCAAAGTACCACAAGCCAGTGGTTAAAAATTGCATTGACTTGGAAGTTCAGAGGCACACAATAGGAGCCACTTTCCCTATTCATGGAACTTCAGTGTGGTGGAAGAGAAAAACACACACATACTACATTGAGGGAGAAGAGGAATTCATTGAATTCTGTTAGACGTAACTGCTTTCCACTGAGTTCAGAGCGAAACTCGGTATTTGTTCGATGCTGTATTCATATTGCGATTTAATCTAGAAAGAATTAGAGGACTGTTAGGCAGCTTTCTGCCAGGAAAGCAGCTTCCCCCTCCTTCCTCCTCTCTTTTTGAAACCTAAAGATTTACACCGGCTCTATCCCCAACTCTATTTTAGCAAAATAAATCCTTCCACTCCCTCTCATTAAAATAAATTTACATCTGCAGTAAAATGGCAGGAGGGATGCGTTTGTTTATTTGGAAAACCAATACGGTCTCACTTTTAAACCAGAGCATTTCTATTGTCATTAGCCTCAGAGAAGGACAGTGGAGAATCTCCCCCTTCCTTGCGAGGCGCTCAGGTTTCGAGAATTATTTAGCGAAATTAGCTGCAGTTCATTTTTACATTCATCTCTTCTGTCTCAACCCACTCGCAGGGGTGTTTTCAAATAAATAGCAAAGCATCTAATGGTGCTAATAGATAGTTATATCGCTGTATCCCTCGAAGAGCAAATAGTTAATCTGGGGCATTCTTCATTAATGCTTGAGCAATCAGCGTATACGGCGGCTTTTAAGCGTGTATCAATGGTTTTTCATTTTTACGATCATACGTTCAAACTATTAATATTGTGCGCCCTGTTAAAACCGCTTTCTCTTCTGATTTCTGCATTTGTTAGGACGGCGTTTATGTTTTTTCATATGGTGAATTAATCCTGTTTACTTTGTCAGATTCGAGACAGGAAAGGTTGGTGTTGGGTTGTGGTTTGGGTTTTGGCTTTTATTTTTTTCCTCAGGAAATTCAACATCAGCAACAATCTGTGACTATTCTGCATTTTGAACCCCCACCTTCTCCTACCCTCCCCGAAAGGTGACCTCCTCAACTCTGGGTTGTTTGGAAATCCTAAGGCAGCTCCACACATTTTAACCAGGAAAGATTCCTTTCCCACTTTCTGTCTTCCCAGTCCCTCCTGGTCACTGTTTCGGGTAAAGGTTATTTTTTTGCTCCATGAGGATCAATGGGAACGCTGCAGCCTTGTCTTTGAAATTGAGTCGCAAAACACATCTTCGCCCGTGGGGTCTGAACACACCGGGTTTCCAGGCAGGACACCCTCAAGTCGAGGTGCTTTTTACAACTTTCCAACCACCTCCGCACCTGCGGCTTTAGCCACATGTATTAATTCTGCGGCAGAAGTATGTGGGCATGCGGCAACATGAAAAAGTGTGTGTGAGGTGGTGAGGGGCAATTAATCCCTCACGGAGTTGTGCCCAGGTCTGTGTCCCCGCGGCCGTGCTTGGTGACCGGCTGGGATGTGAGCGCCCTTAGTCGCGTGTGTTCGCAGAGGAGGAATGGTCCGGCCGGGCATTTTTCTGTCTATGTTGACATGTTTTCTATTTTATCTCTCCGTCCCTTCGCTTGTTCGAGCGTCTTTTGGCCATTTTCACCGGGAGAAGGACTCGAGTCCCCGCTCGGCTGGCCAGTAGCTCCATTCAGCGGGAAATAAACACGTCCCAGTGCTTAGCTCTGCTACCTGTTCACGGTACAGCACCGAAGTCGTGTTACAGCGGCGGGGTACGTGTGGTCATGAAACCCCCGAACCCGCAAAACCCCGAAATAAAGTTAAAGGGCTGAGGCGAGCGGCGCCGCGGCGATGCCGAGCGAAAGGCACGGCTGTCACGCTCCGCGGAGCGGCGTGCCGGGCTTCGGTGCTGCCTGGAGCGGAGCCGTGGTCCCCTCGCTTCGGGGCGAACGGGAACGAGGAGCGCTCGGGCGGAGGCCCCGCGCCCCGCCGGGGCCGGGCTGTGCGAGCGGCCGGTCCCGGAGCTCCGGGCGCGGGCAGGCTCCGCTCGGCTCGGTGCAGCCCGGCCGGGCTCGGCGCGGCTCCGCGGGCGGCCGGGGCACGGCTCGGGCGGGCGGCGGGACACGGAGCGGCCGCGGCGAGCGCAGGTGCCCGGAGCGGGGCCGGGGGGCTCCGCCGTGAGACCTCCGGCGGGCGCCAGCCCGCACCGCGCTTCCCGCCCGCTTGCGGGGAACCTGCGGCCACCCCTTCCCCGCGGCGGCGGCGGCGGCAGCGCCGGGGCTCGGCTTCACTTCATTCCGTGGAGTTTTACCTCGCTTTAGCGCCCGCTTTCCGCTTTGCACCCGCCGCCCCCTCCGACCCCCGAGGCCGTGCCCCGGCGGGCAGCCCCAGGTGAGGCGGCGGCGGCGCCGCGCTCCGCACGCCGGGCTCGCCTTAACCCCTGGCCCCGGCGGGGCGTGAGGGCGCGGGGCGGCGGGCGCGGGGCGGCGGGCGGCGCTAGGACCGCGCGGGCGGCGGCGGCGGCCATGGCGGGCCGCGCAAGGGCGGCGCGGCCCAATGAGGGCCGGGGGGCGGGGCGCGCGCTCCTGGCCAGTCAGGCGCCGGCCCGGTTGCCTTATAAGGCGCGCGGTCGCCATGGCGACGCGCGCTGAGTTGCAGCAGCCGTGTCAAAGTTCACTCTCCCGCCAGCGG